ATTTTTTGTGTATTCACTGTATTGTATTGAATAAAATAGTTATGCGGCCCGCGCTCGTCATTCTCTCAGTTATCTGTTAGATCAACGTAAGCCAGTAAAGCAATCACCGATAGCGTTCACCAATATTTTCACTGTCTTTCCTTAGGGACTTCCCTCTATCTACAAGTTGTGTAATAGTTTTAGGCACAGTTAACAAAGTTTCACCATGTGGGTATTGCTTTCTATCTTCCCCATGTACGCTTCCACCTTACATTTTCATCCCTTCATACTGCATCTTATAATGAAACAGTGTTTAAAAAGTATTATGCATAATTTTGTGTTTATTAAAAACGATATTTCAGTCTGCATGACTGGAAATATTTTTATTACAACCAAATAAAACACTGAATACACCAAATTTATATTTGTTATGGTATCTAAACTAATGTCTGTGAATTTCATTTACTACCGATAACTTCGCCAATTTATGAATATTTCAAATCAATTCAGTCGAAATGTCTTCTGCATTGCTCTTTATGAGAAACATACGTAAAACTATGTTCTTTAAAACTTCAGGTAAAACTATGTTTTTGTCTTTCTCAGCTATATTGTGAGCTCCTTGTTACACTTATCTATTACATAAAAACACATCAACCTGCCAAATATTTCAACACCAAAATTGAAACATTATCTTACAAGCATTTGTGAAAATGTTAGGTGCACTGCATTCTCCAACAATACTCTCCAGGTCAGATATCGCAGATATTCATCAATTATTAATGTCGAGACCAAATCCTTTATCTACATACTATTGTTCCTTTTTTATTGTTGTGCTTTTTGTATAATAGGATAATTTGTGCTGTAAAACATTACTTAATAACTTATGTAAACATGGGACCATACATGTATATTTATTTTTATACATATTGTATTATTGACTAATTTGTTTTGTGAATGAATATTTTACTATTGTTTAGTTTTTGTTATAATCTATATACTATTAAAACTCTGAGATTGTTTGTTTGCTTGTCTTTAATTAGATACAGCAAAAACGGCGAACAATAGCGCCATATTTGTAAATTGAAATGAGAATAGAAACAGAATAGAATAAGTTTCGTTAAAATCTGGTCACGGGTTGCCGAGTTAGCGCCGTTTTTCGGGTCACTTTTATGAAACTTTCTAGCATGAGTCATTTTACATCACACTACCGTTCACGCTCTTTACGAAACTTCTTTGTTCAAATCTATTTCCCTGTCAGTGTTCCCATCTTCATTAAAAGGCGTAAGATGACAAAAACAA